TTAAGCTTTTGCTTTACCTGGTGAGGTTGTAACTAATAATCTTAGATGAGAAATCAGTAAGTGTTGTGTCTTTTCAGCTGTTGCTTGGGATGGTGCTGGTGCGCTTTCTGCCACTGAATTGTCCTTTCTATACCTTTCTGTCTTCAGTTCCTTGCTGCCTCAGTTGTGTCTGCTCCGTGGCTGCCTGCTTGCTGAAGTGCATGGTTTCCAGCTCCACCAGTCTGTCTGCCTTGAGTATTACTCCCTGCTCCCCTCCCCCCCGCCCCAGTCCTGCAGCATCTTTCATTTATGATCTTGCTGGCTACAAACTAACTTCTTTTGGCATCTGAAGGTACTGTTTCCATCATAAGGCAGAACTGGGGGTCTCTTCTGGGCCTCTTAGGCTTAATCTGCTCTCTAGCAGCCTTCGTTCTTGCATTTCAAAGTAAACACTAATGTCACGTCTGTGTAAGTGTAGATATTCTTCTGTGAACTATTGATGTCTTGAATTTTGTATGAATACATGAGTATCCTTTTAATAAACATCCTGAACTTGATGATCTAGTTTGATTTTAAAATGTCAAACTGAGTCTCTAATAAAGTTTGTTTGCAAGAACTTCCATGACCATTAGACAATGTCTGTATAAAAATTAACAAACAGTTTAGGAAGACTGTTGAGATCTGAATATATAATATGATGCATCGTTTCTTTTCAAAGTATGAGTGTATTTAAAAGTTTATCATAGTGGAGAACCCTTAGAAGAAAGGTGTAGGATCGATGTGGCTTTTGTTTTTGCTGACTCTGTTCTACCTTCCTTGTGCTTGTAAAATTCAATAAGGTAAGAGTTGTAAAAGCTGAAATGGGCAGGATCAAATTCTGAAAAATCTAGAAGATGCATAGGAAAAGTCTGACATGGATAGGGAACTGAAAAGACGGACACGAAAACAAGTAAATGTTAACATCTTAATGTCCTCTGACTCAAAATTGAGAAGTAATGAAAGTAAGTTACCTCTTCAATGTTAGCAACCAAATGTCAGTGCAGTATCAACCAATACATAGTGGCAAGAATGGGAAAGAAAAAAATGTTACGAGGTATGACTGAGGAAGAGGAGATGGCAGTTCAAAAACCTAATATCAGATGGAGCAATCAGAGTGGATCCAGGCACACCAATTTGAAATTTGGTCGGTTCTGCTCTTGGCAGGTTCAAAAGCAAAAAAGATGCCAGCGGTGAGGTGGTATGGGTGCTGAAAATGTGTAAGGATTTGTAGCAATTGGGCGAACAGCTGTATGAAGAATTGGCTGAAGGCCATCAGGGTAGACATACCCAGCTCAGGACATTTCTGAGCAGCAAACTGTTGGAGCTTGGGACTATAAATTGAGGAAACATTACTATGTACTTTCCTTATTCTTTATACCATTTTCCTCTTTATCTGCTACAGAATACCAAATAGTTGCATAGATCGACCTCTGGGCAGACCTGGAATGACTGCTTAAGTGTCTTTATGCTTATTTTGAATAGTAGCACCTTAACCAAGTTCGAGACGCTGTTTGGAGTCCTCTTCTGAGGATACCGAAGGTATTGTTTTCTTCAAGGGATTATTCATAAAAGTGTTTGTATTTCTGATGGTGTGTATGTGAAGAATGTGGTTAAATAGCCTGTTTGTTTCCAGACCGTCTCATCCTGTGTTGTGCAGGAATGAGTAGAACGGGAACATGCTTCAGGAGGTCAGTTCTTCTTTGCCACCTGTACAAAAAGTGGCACTTTTTAAAGTTATATTATGTTCCTCTTCTAATGTGTATTTTTTTTATACTGCCTTTGTTTGCACAACAACTGTTTTGCTATAAGTATTGGTCTGGGACATGCCTATGCCTCTGCAGCCTGACTGTGTCCTTGGGTTGCTGTCTGGATCTTCGAAAGAGTCCATCCCAGTATCTCGCAGGAAAGTTCGCTTTGCCTTTTTGTCTGGTACCATCTTGCTCTACCACGATTATGACTATTGGTTCATTCAGCCTTCCCACAGCTGTGAAGAAGTTCTGTCGAGGCTTTGTGGTCAACAACTTACTTTTCAAATGATGGTGTAGTTGCAGAAGATCATGTCTGCTTTTATTAGATTACCACAATACTGTTGTGCATAGCTGGTCTCTTGCTAAATTACGAGAAATCTTGGCAAAGGTCATACAGGCCCTGTAAATTAACTGGACATGTGCAAGTTTAGGTTAAAACTTATTTGTAGGGTCAATACTGATCTCACCTGAGATTTTTAGTAAATGAGATGATTAAAACACTGGTGTGTCAGAGTTGAGAAATGTGAAGGTCTGCTGAACTTCCTTTCCCATCCTTGAGACCTTATCGGTAGGTGATGACTGACTGTTGCACAAATATTGATAACATGGTGGTGTAATATTCACTCCCCCGCTAAGAAGCATTTGAAGTACCAGTTCCAAAGATGAAACATCAGGTTCACTTTTCACTATATCATCAGGAATGCTGGACACGCTGGCAGATAATATCAGCTCTTTCAGATCCTCTAGCTGTTAACTGCAAAAACTGGCCGGTACCCTTCTTTCGCTCCCTGTGGCTCCTGAGTACCTCACAGTCTTCAAGCTGAAAGCTCCATTAAGGAGTTTCAGTTTTTTTTTTTCTTGGACAGCAAGAGCCCAGTCACTGCTAGATATCCCTGATTAGGACATAGCCTGCTTGCTTCTTTCTGTATTACACTACATCTCAGAGTCTTTTGGGCGGATAAAACAAGGATACACGCTACTGTCTTCTATCCCATCTGTTTGAGAACATCTTAATCCTTCTTAAGATCAAGGGAATTCCCTTTTTCATTGTTCATACAGAGCAGAGCACACCTGTTCTCCTCTGCACCTTGTGCTCTGACTACTAGGACGAGCTTACACAGAAGTGACTTGATGCTATTTGCATCGTCATTTGACACAGAACCATTTTATCAAGTGTATCTGCTAGTCTTTTCTCTGATGTAGTGGATCATCCCACCTATCGCAGGTTCTGGGACAGAGCACGGGGTATGCAGAAGTTACAGGATACCTGAAGGCTGGCGTGAAATGAGGAGGGGGGGTTTGGTCAGCGGGTGGCATCTGCTGGGGCAAGACAGTCTCACATGTTTGCAGTGAGCAACTGCACAAAGGCTATGTCCTCTGGCCATGCTGGTAGGCAGTCTTCTACTTTTCATATGTTTTTATGCACTGTACTGCCCACCCTCTGTCCACAAAGGGTGCTGCATCTTTTTATAGGTGTATTGCTTAACTGCCTTAAGTGTGATGGCTCTTTGCTAATTTTCTAAAGGCTCGAAGAAGGGTCTTACATGAACAGTGGTGTGAGGACCTTTTTTTTTTCTTCTATTTATAGTATTACGTCTTCAGATTTTTTTCCTACCTCGTCCTCTCAGTATCCCTGGAGTGATTTCAAAAGGCTTTGAAGATAGGTAGGTAACAATCCTAATGAAGAGTGTTTAGTATAAAAGGGCCAGTACCAGTTGAGCAAATTTGTGAGGATGGTGTTTGGGTCCTTTAAACAACTCACATTTCATGAGGCATCTGAGTGGCAGCGAAGACAGCTGCAGATCCCACAAAACAGTTAAAAATGGCATGTGTGGAGAAGTGCGCGACTTGGGCTTTGCCCGCCCAGTCCACTTGCATGTATTAGATGTGCCTCTAATGCTGCCTTTAATTCAGTGTCCTGTAAGAACTCAAATGTGTATGCTAAATATTAGAACAGCTGTGTTCAAAAATAGGCTGTTTCTACCCCCCACCCCTGACGCGATCACAAGACTGCTGCTGCAGTAGGGGCTTAATGCTATTTACGTCGTCATTTGACATAGCAACATATCTCGGGGGATTTTTAAACAATGCAGCTGTTCAGGAGAGATGAAGAGGTTGAGGGTGGGGAGAGGGAAAAGGAGGAGAAATAATTTCATCTGCCATTAGGGCTATTGCGGGGGGGAGGGGAGGCAGCCAGCAAACCAGCGAGTTCAGTAGATTCATGATTCTGCATGAATGGATGGCAGGATCATGGGAGTTGCGGCTTTCCCTTGAATGGGAAGGAGCATCATGGGAATCTGGCTGCTTCTGATCTTTTTGTGAATGATTCTTTTCCTTTAACATGGCACTGCTTTTATGAATGGCTCTGGGGGCAAAGTGCTGCAAAATCCTTCTCAAGCTGTATACAGGTTCCTTAAGGAGCGCTAGGGTGGGAGCCAGGTGCAGCAAAACAGAGATGCTGTGATGTTTAGCTACTGTTCTGCTCTTTAGAAGTCTGAGAGGACATTGTACTGATTTTAAGTCAATGTAATTAATTTAGCTTGATGGAAGCAGAATTGCTTTTTATATGGAGTATTTTTAATATTTGCTTTCTTTTTCTATTTCAAAATATAGCTGGCTATGTGTATTTTTCCTGTTCTGTTAAGGGCGGAGATGGCAGCATATCAGAATGGTTCTGGAATGATTAAACTTGAAGTTTTGCTCTTCTTGCTCACCCACACATTTCCTTTTTGATTTATGTTCAAAATACTAAATATTCAGAAAGTTTTATGGCACCAGAAGTGAGAATGGAAATGGAGGGCAATAAAGAATTGTTTTGCTTGGTCTGAAGCAACTCGTTTGCCATTTGGCTTACATTGGAAAAAAGCGTTCTTCTCAAGCTGTACTTGAACACTGCTGTGGACGTGCATTTTCAGATTTCTGCCTTTTTTTTTTTTATTCTGTGCAAACCTGTATAATTTGTTTTCTTGTCATCTTTGTTGTCCCTTACAAACAAAATGCAGAATCATTTGAGAATTTATGTTCTCACCAAAAGTAGCTTAATGTTGCAGACTTCCTGTGCAGGTTATGTTAAAATCCAAGGATTTCTATTGCAGAGGTGAAAATCCTAATGTGTAATATTAGCTACTTAACATAAAGTTTTTGTAAAACCACAACAACTGATATATTCTTAATATCTAAATGGTAATTCAACTATTTCAAACATAAACTTTTAAAAACTTATTTTTTTTCTAGAGGAGAAGTACAAAGTGGAAACAAAAGTCATTGTGGCAGACTTTGGAGAGAGAGAAGATATCTACAGTAGAATCAAAGCGGGGTTGGAAGGCCTGGAGATCGGTGTTTTAGGTTTGTATCTGATCTTTCTAAATCTTTCATACTGGTGTTTCGTCTTGACATGCGTACTAACTTTTTCTCATATTGAAGTTTATTGAAGCCAGTTCACAAAAGCTGATGTTTGCTTGACTAAAACTGTGTTGCTGCATGCTCAATATGTTTTTTAGATTCCCATTGATACACTACATGAGACGGTGTTTGCATGTTTCAGGAGCTGTGATGCTTATTTAATGGTTTTGATGTGTTACTCTGTGGTTGCTAAAGGCTCTGGCTTATGACTGCATGCACGGTGACTTTACCTAATGTCATCTTAGAACCTAAGCAAGCTCCAGATACTTAATTCAGCTCAGCAGTAGAGCCCTTTGGGAGAACTGTTAACTTTTAATTATAGAGCTGTTGAAATTTAATCATTACAATATAGCATCAAGTAACTGGCTCCCGCTTCAAAAGTTTTAAGCGTGTTCTGGTCATGTTGGTAAGCTGCGGTTCTTTTGCTAGTGGCAACACGATATGCCCAAGTATGGCTTGTGATGTTGCAGGAGTGTAGGTGCTGTGGTAGTCCTTGAAAAAACAAGGTGATCCATCCAGTTACTTTGTCGAAGGTAGAACTAAGGTGACTTCAAGAAGGTGTTAATCACAAGTTAAGAAGAGTTTAAACATAACAGCTAGGTTACCTGCATCTTTTCTGAACAGTGGTGTAAAGGCAGTTTCTTATCAGTTTTCTGGTTCTTTCCTTAGAAGCACATACACCTGTGCATATCCTACATTTCTACGGTTACTCAATATGGGGATGAGAACCTGCGATGGTTAAACATAAGGCATGAAATTTTATGAAGTTGCATGGCTCAGACACCTACTGGCATATCTCATCTGATAAAGTACTTCTCACTACAAAATTCATTTTACTAACCTGAAGTGCAGTAATTGGAGCTAGAACTGTTTTTTTTAAAAAGCATATTTCAAAATAAATTCATTACACACATGATGATATACTAATGAACTTGGTTGCTAATAGATGAGTGGTGTTGTACGATGTCTGCAAATAATGCCCAAGAAAACAGTGTATATAAAAACTCAATTAAAAAATAACATTAAAGGATAAAGCCCGGAATGTTCTCTAATACTTGTGACAGATTTGAGTACATGCAACTCATGACATTCAGTATTTAATTGCTATAAAAGTTCAAATCCATTGGAGTAACTGCAGCTGCCAACGATGTGTTTTGTGTAAAGAGTAGTTGTGACAAAGCTGTGGATGCCTTGTTTCTTGTTTCTGAAGGAAATAAGTTCCAAAGAAACTTTGAAGATTAAAATTAATGTCTGTTCTAATCTGTTCTGTCAAAATCAACTCGGGGAATGTAAGGCTTGCAAGCTGCCCGTCACGTAGCACTTGCTGCATATCACTTAGATGTCTCAAAACACCAGCAAACCTTTTACTGTGTGAGGTACATGTCCACACTGGAAAGGTTTTTATTATTTCTTAAGCTGTGATAAGGTTATGGTGATGCACAAAATCATGAAAATCTGACTCTTTATAGTCTTGCTCACAGTGGGCACTAAAGCAGTGAATGTGTCTCAAATTTTGTGTAAGCTTATTACAGGAAAACAAGCACGTTCCTCAAACAGAGCCTGGTTCTTGCTTTTATTTGCGTGAGCACCTTGACTAAAAACATGGTAAAAATAGCAACTAAATGCTCTAGAGTTGTGTATGCTTTAGCTGAGTTCCTCTGCTTTTTTTTTTTTTTTTCTTGCAGCCATTGCCAGTGCAGGTTTACAGAAATCTCTCTTCTAACTAATCACTAGCAGATTTAGATGATCTTCCGCTTGGGCTCATCAGATTACATGATACATAGGTTTTTTCTTTTCCCCAGATATAGCTGTATTAATAGAAACCACTTGCCAGTGTAATTTTTCAACATAGATGATGGCTACTCCAGAAAGACCATATCTTAATTTTTTTATGGCAATTAATTTCATGCCTTAGTGCCTTATATTGTAAATTCTGTAGCATTTGTTGCAATCCGGAATACAGCTTTTGCTGACCTGCGTTTTTCATGTTTGTGTGAGGAAAAACATGGGTTTAAATGAGAACAGCCGTAAGGGATGAATTCTCAGGTTCCAGTATATTTTCTTCTTTCAGGTCTCATCTGGAACGGTAGGTATGAGAAGCGTTGGTAGCACAGCATAGTTGCCAGTGATCAATGCTGATTATTTTTTAGCCTTATACTTAGACATGGGAGTCTCCACGTATACTGCTCAAGATCGAGCTTCTGATTATATGGTTTCACAGAGTCTAACTAAAGTACTTCCAGATGGAAATCCTTGTAAACTTCTTATTTGGAAGCTTCTTCTCACCCACATAGGAAGGCTAAAAGAGTTTGCATAATGTTTTCCCGTGTGTTCAAAACGGTGTCTGTCAGTAACTTCAAACATGTGCTAGCTACAGCAATATGTTAAACAAGCAGAGGTGGGAAATCTTTCTTTTGCTGTTCTTAAATCGCTGTGATTCTCGAAAGCAGTTTGAGCTGGACAGTATCTTACCCTATTGTTACCCAGATTTCTCTAGGTAAAATACACCTGTACAAACTGAAAACTAATTTTTTTAATGTTCTGTTCCAAACCGCAGCAAAGTATGATCTGGTAAAAAATGATTGCTGAAAGTGGAAGGGTACATACCTGGGACCCATTCTGCAGTAAGGGGTGTGAATTTTGTGCGACTGTCTCTGTAGCATGAATCATATAAATATTCTAAATTCGGGGAGAATAACCAAGGCTAGTCCCCAAACCCTGCCACAGTTCATAGCCAAAATCCTCTCCAGAGAGATGGACTGAAAAATAGTTTATTTTAGGATGAAAAGAAGGAAAAAAATCTGGCTCACTCTTGCAATAGCAAGATTGGACCTTCTTCCTTTTTAAAACTTTTCTCTCTTTCTAAATATAGCAAATGCCTGCTGGGAATGTGCCAGCTCCCTATTCTCCTCAATTCCTGTATTTTTAAAGGTTATCTAAAAGTTAAAAATTTGAAGCACACAACATGGCTAATGAACTAAAGGTTTCCATAAAAACACAAAGATCTGGACTACAAGAGCTGTCGTTCGAGGGAATCTGAACGAAGGTGGTGCGCTCTGCCAGAATCTCTCCTGCCTGTTCCCTGCGTCTCCTGAATCCCTTTTGATACTTCATGTCTGTCTGGTTGGATGTTAGCGCGATAGCTTTTGGCACAGGTGGAGGGGCTGTTTGTTGTTGTTGTTGTTGTTTTTCGTTTTTTGTTTTCTTATTTTTTTTTAAAAGGCATCAGTACCTTTTGGCGGTGTTCCTTACCCCGGTGCAGACTCCTGCCCTGGAGGTGCGCAGTGCTGTTGAGCATACATAGCACTTTGGGATTCTCTGGGGTGTAAGACACTATATAAATGTAAAATGTTGCCACAGCAACCAAATGTCACACGATTCACTTGCGTAAGATGAACAACAGATACTTAGGAAACGGAGATCCCATTTGCTTGCTTTTTTATTTTCTTCCCGTCTCCATATCGATGTGCTTTATTAAGTTTGAGGCAACCGAGGCTGCAGAGCAGCCTTGTTTTCTAATGGTATTAGAAGTTTTCCCCTACTTGTGTTGGGATTTGGGAATGGATATCGCTTTCATGTCTGAGAATAAAACCTTGCCAGTCTGAAGCGTTGGAAAAAAAAAAATAGGTTTAAGTAATTAATACGTTCTCTCGGTTAATTTTAAATGCTGCCAACGGGGAAAGATTTTGCAGATGCGGGGGTGACTGGGAGAATCTCGGCGTAACGAGTCC